GCAGAGCTGGGATTTGAATCCAGGGAGTGGGAACCTGGAATCTGTTCTTTTGACCAGTACACTATTCTCTGAGTGTTAGAGGGCATGTTCTGTAATGGTTCATTATATCAAACTTATTGATTCTTTTGTCCACTTACTCTATCAATTAACCGAAGAGGGATGATAAAATCTCACACCGTCCTGGTGGCTTTGCCAATTTCTCTCTTTATTTCTTTCAATTATTTTTCTTTACTCATTTTTTACTCATATTTTTCTTTACTCATAGCTCATTTTGAGCTATGATATTAGGCGCATCAAGTTTAGAATTTTTATAAGTTCCTAGTGAATTAAACCTTTTTTTTTTTAATTGTTATCTAGTGACCACCTTCATCTCTAATAATTCTTTTTACTTTCATATCTATTTCAGTGTGGGGCGGGTCCAGTGGCGTAACCATTAAGTAAGTGCGCCCGATCCACTTTGGGGGCCTGGGGTTCGCAGGTTCGGATCCCAGGCACGCACGGACGCAACGCTTGTCAAGCCGTGCTGTGGCGGTGTCCCATGTAAAGTAGAGAAAGATGGGCACAGATGTTAGCCCAGCGCCAATCTTCTTCAGCAAAAAGAGGAGGATTGGCATCGGATGTTAGCTCAGGGCTAATCTTTATCACATAAGAAAAAAAAAATCTATTTCAGTGTATGTTCCTATAACTATTCCAGTTTTCTTTTGGTTAGTGTTTTTGTGGTGTGTCTTGTTATACTCTTTGATGTCTGATCTTTTTACACCTCAGTGTTTTAGTAGTTATCTCTTGTTAACAGCATATAGCTAGCTTTTTTTAATAATCCACTTTGAAAACTTTTGTCCTTTGGTTGGAAAGTTTAATGCATTTACACTCACTGTGATTACTGATATATTTGTATTTATTTCAGCAAACTCACTATGCATTTTCTGTTTGTCCCTCCTGCTATGCCTTCTTTTGGATTGAGTTTTTCTTTTCTCTCTGCTAGTTTTTCCCTCTCTGAGTTTGGAAAACTTAAGAGCTTGTTAAGTAAATTCTAAAGTTAGTTGATCAGTAACTTTACCCTCCTCTGAACAATGCAAAGACCTTAGAATATTTAACTTGAATCACTCCCTCCTTTTATTTAATATGCTGTTTTTAACTAGTATTTTAATTCTCAGTAGCTTTTTTTTTTTTTTGAGGAAGATTGGCCCTGCACTAACATCTCTTGTCAATCTTCCTCTTTTTCTTTTTCTTTTTTCTCCCCAAAACCCCAGTACATAGTTGTGTATCATAGTTGTAGAGTTGTGGCTCCTCTACGTGGGATGCTGCCTCAGCATGGCTTGATAAGTGGTGAGTAGGTCCACGCCCAGGATCTGAACCAGTGAACCCCAGGCCACTGTGGCAGAACGTGCAAACTTAACCACAATGCCACCTGGCCGGCCCCTAAACAGTTTTCTTTCTGCCATTAGTTAAACATCATCATCATCATCACTATTTGATATAGGCCATATTTATTTGGATTGCCCACATAACAACAGTATTTTGCTCACCATTCTCAGACCTTTCATCTGAGATCATTTTCCACCTGCCTGATAATACATCGTTTGGTATTTCTTTTAGTGAGGGTCTTTTGGTAATAAACTTTCTCAGGATTTGTGTAAAATGCCTTTATAATATGCTTGTTTTTGACAATTCCCTGGATATAGAATTCTGTATTGACGTTACTTTCAGCCCAGTGAAGATGCTTACTCTTTATTCTGCTTCCATTGTTGCTGTGCAAGTCAGGAGTCTGTCTAGCATATCTTCTGAAATAGTTTGTCTTTTCTCTCTTTTAAGGTTATTTTTCTTTGATATTCTACAATTTGACCATATGTGGAAGTAGATTTCTTTTTATTCTGTTGTGGATTTGTTAAGCTTCCTGGGTGTGAAGATTAATGTCTTTGAACAATTCTAGAAAATTCTTAGCCCTGATCTTTTAGAATATCACCTCCTTCTACTCTATTTTCTCCTTTTGGCATTCCAGTCAATTGTAAGCTGGATCACCTCACTCAATCCTCTGTATCTCTTAACATCTCTTAAATTTTGCATCTCTTAATCTCCTAATCTCCTTGGATTGCATTCTGGGTAGTTGCTTCAGATCCATTCTCACTTCACTAATTTTCTCTTTTGCTGTGTCAAATCTGTTGGTTAATCTTTCCAACAAGTACTTAATTTCAATTGAAAAATTTATTTCTGGGAGCTGGCTGGGTTGTGTGGTGGTTAAGTTTGCGCGCTCCACTTTAGTGGCCTGGGGTTCGCAGATTTGGATCCCAGGCGCAGACCTACATGCCGCTCATCAGGACGTGCCGTGGCGGCTTCCCACATACAAAATAGAGGACAGTTGCCACAGAAGTTAGTTAGCTCAGCTGCAGTCTTCCTCAAGCAAAAAAAAAAACTTTTGGAAGTTTTAATGGCTGTATTTCAAATATATTCATTCTTGCTCAGATTTTCAAGCATCTCATTTATTTTTTTAAATATAGAAAGCATAGTCTTTTATATTCTGCCTCTGATAATTTCACTATCTGAAGTCTTGGTGGGTTGGCTTTTGTCCGTTGTGGCTGCTGGTTCTCAGTCGTCATGCCTTGATTCTTTGTGAGGTTTTTGTCTCATTTGGCCTAGAAGTTCATCTGTGGGAGTTCTTTGAGTCCTTGGTTGAACTTAAGTTCCTCCAGAGTGTTTCTGCCAGTCACCTGGTATACTACCAACCCAAAATTTTTTTTTTTTTTCCTTTTTGCTAAGGCAGATTAGCCCTGAGCTAACATCTGTTGTCAATCCTCATGTTTTGCTTGAGGAAGATTATCCCTGAGCTAACATCTGTGGCCAGTCTTCCTCTACTTTATATGTGGGTTGCTGCCACAGCATGGCTGATGAGTGGTGCAGGTCCATGTCTGGGATCCGAATCAGTGCGAACCCAGGCCGCTGAAGCGGAGTGTGCCAAACTTAACCACTACACCATGGGGCCGGCCCCCAGAACTCTTTTAAAAATAAATTCTTTCCGTAAGGTTACCTTAACCTCACAGGCAGCATGAATTAAAACTGCAAGCTCGGGTGAAGGCTGGCTTGTGGTTATAAATTCCCAGGGAGGGCCGGCCCCGTGGCTTAGCAGTTGAGTGCGCACACTCCACTGCTGGCGGCCCGGGTTCGGATCCCGGGCATGCACCGACACACCGCTTCTCCGGCCATGCTGAGGCCGTGTCCCACATACAGCAACTATAAGGATTTGCAGCTATGACATACAACTATCTGCTGGGGCTTTGGGGGAAAAATAAATTAATAAAATTATTAAAAAAAAAAAAAATGAATTCCCAGGGAGAATTCTTTTTCCTTCCTCCCAGTTTTTCCTTCTCACACTTGTACTGCTGGCATTCCTGGTGGAGGTCCCACTTTTATTGAAGGACTCTCCTGTTGGACTTTTTCTCTTGTCGCTGGGCTTAGGGTCTCCAGGAGTCAACAGAAGTCCTTTGGCATTATTTACCTCGCAGAGCTTGTAGTTTGCATTTTTTAAAACAGCTTTATTAAGATATAATTCACATACTCTATCATTCACCCATTTGAAATGTAAAATCCATTGTGGCTTTTAGTATTTTCACAGAGTTGTGTATTCATCACCACATCAATTTTAGAACATTTTCATTACCCCAAAGAGAAACCCTGTACCTCCTAGCTGTCACTCCTGAGTCCCACTTCCCCCTCATTCCCAGGCAACCACTAATCTACTTTCTGTCTCCTTGGATTTGCCTGTTCTGGACATTTAATATAAAGGGAATCATACAATATGTGGTCCGTTGTGTCTGGCTTCTTTCACTTAGCATGATGTTTTCAAGGTTCACCTGTGTTGTAGTGTTGATCGGTATTCCATTCTTTTTTATTGCTGAATAATATTCCATTGTTCAGTTATACCACATTTTGTTTATCCGTTCATCAGTTGATGGAAAATTGGGTTGTTTCTACCTTTTAGCTGTTATAAGTAATGCTACTATAAATATTCACATACAAGTTTTTGTGTGGACGTATGTTTTCATTTATCTTGGGTGTATACCTAGGAGTGGAGTGGCTAGGTCACATGGTAATTCCATGTTTAAGCATTTGGGGAACTGCCAGACTATTCAAAGTGGCTGTGCCATTTTATATTCCCACCAGCAGTGTGTGAGATTCTGTTTCTCTGCATCCTTGCCAACACGTTATTATCTTTTTGATTAATGTAAATTTTGGTGGGAGGGGGGATGCTGTGGCTTATTAGTGCCTTTAAAAAGAAGATTTTGCTTATTCTATCCAGCACTTGGTCATTTTAGTCAGGGGGGTTGTTCAGGCAGCTGAATCATGAAACGGCCAGAAGTGCAGGTCCTTGTCACCCTTTGCAGCTCTGTGGCCTCATAGCAGACCCTGCTCTCTCTCGCCTCTTCTTGGTCATTGTCCACACGGCAGCTTCAGCCCCGTTTTAAATCCTAATCCAGTCTTGCCTCTCCTGGTGCAAGCCCGTAAAGAGGACTTTTTGCTCTTTGATTCAGTCTATACTCCTTACCACCAACCCAGCTCCCGCCAACCTCTGCCACCTCCCTGGTACCCCGTACTCACTGGAGCCCCGAGCCTCAGTAGACACTGGCTGTCCCCCTGTGTGTTTGGCTCTTGGTTGTCCCTCTGCCTGGCTCCTGCTTCCCAGTGTTGTCCCAGGGCTTCCCCTTCAGGTCTCAGCTCAAATGTCACCTCCTCAAAGATGTCTTCCCTGACCAACTCCAGCTTCCTTATTCTTTGTAATTGTTCTGTTAAGTAACCTGACTTGCTTATACTTTGCTTCCCCTTCTGGAATGTGAGCCCATGAGGGCAGGGACCATGGGTTTCCCCACTGCAGGTCTGTCACATGGCCCACAGTGGACACTTGGTAATATTTGTTGAATGCATAAATGAATGAATGGACAGACGCATGGGGAAGGGGAAGGCCGCTCTGCTCTACCCCTGGTCTGATCCTGCCTCCCCACCTCCTGCAGCCACTTTCTGGGTGAACCCTCAGTTCAAGATCCGGCTGGAGGAGACGGATGACACGGATGATGACTATGGGGGTCGCGAATCAGGCTGCAGCTTCGTGCTCGCCCTCATGCAGAAGAACCGCCGCCGCGAGCGCCGCTATGGCCGCGATATGGAGACCATTGGCTTCGCCGTCTATGAGGTGAGATGGGGGAGCCACATGGAGCCCTGCAGGGAAGGCCGGCCTCCCGCCCCAATACAGGCAAGCTCTGCCAGGGGGCGCCAGAGGGCACCACTGCCACCTGCCCACCTGCCCATCCTGAGCGGACTGGGGCCAGTCACACCCGTGAGACGGGTGGCCCTAGACAGAGCCCCTGGGAGGCACCTGCTGAGGCACTCTGCCAGGCTTGGGGCCTAAAATTCATCCTGTGAGGCGAGTGGAGGGGGAGGAAGATGTTTGACTAGGAAAGGGGAAGATTCTAAGATTCTTCCCCATCCTTGGAGGCCAGAAGGCTGCTCTTGGGAAGAGGGATCTGGCTTAGCTGACACCTGGGAGGCAGCTTCTGGGGGACAGATTTGGGCTGAGCTTCAGAAAGAAGTGGGCAAGTAGGCTGCCCTGGAGGAGTAGTGAGTTCTCTGTCTTGGAAGTGTGTAAGCAGAGGCTGGCTGTGGAGGGCCCTGCTTCACGCACTGTGTTTAAGACAGACAGAAACTTCTGGACCTCCCTGGTTGGGGTAAAGGACAGCCCCAGCCTCGGCCCAGGCCCGGAGCCCCTGACAGCAGATGGTTGTGGACCTCTGATAGGCCTGGGCTTTAGGACATGGCAGCTGGCCACCTCAGGGCCTCTGATTCAGAGCTGAGGCCCAGGGCATTCCAGGGACAAAGAGGACCCTGCCTGGGCCCCCCTCCTGGGGTCCTGAGGTCACTCTCTGGTGTGAAGGCAGGTCTGGGTCACCACTGGCCCCAGGCCCGGGACCCTGCCTCCTGGTCCCCACATCCCTTAGTCTAGTCTTACAAACTCAGGGCCCCTCCCAGCACGCACCGTGCCCCCTCCCCCAGGCCAAGCACACTTCTCTAACGTCCTTTGTCTCTCCTGCAGGTCCCTCGGGAGGTAGGTGTGGCACCTGACTCATCTGGATTTATAGGCCACTGAGCACACATGGCCTGGTGGTGCCCAGAGGGCTCCCCCGCCTCCGCCCGCTGTTCAATGGGCAAAGCAAACAGTGATCTCCTGGGGTCAGAGCAGGTAATAAGTGAGGGAGCTGGATTTGAACCCTGGCCCTCAGAGCCCCACCCGACACGCACACAAGGCTCTTTCCGTGTTACTGCTCTGCCCAGTAGGTGCTGGCTCAGGCATCTGGGGCACTGGAGGGGAGCAGGGGAGTAGACCAGCTGAGGGCTCTGCACCTTTGAGCAAGTTGCTTAATCTCTAGGCCTCAGTATCGGTGTCTGTAAAATGGGCGCGAGAGCGCCCCACAGCGGGCTGTCGTGGAGCCGTAAATGAGGTGCCACGTGTAAAGTGCCCTGCAGTGTCTGATGGGGAAGAAGCTCTGAGTAATGATAACGAGCATGTTATTTCATGGTGTCATAGTATCTACATTCACCTCCACATCTTCTCACCTCCACCCTATGTTGTAGGCGGGGTTGTTACCCCATTTTACAGATGAGGAAACTGAGGCAACATGACTTGTCAGGGTCACGCAGCCTGTGGATGACTGAGTCATGGCCCCGCTCTCCAGCCCCTCAGCCAGGACTTGGAGCGTGGGGTCTGGGTCTGGGTCTCGGCAGCTCCTAGGGGTGTAGAGGTGGGCTGAGCGGACAGCTGCAGCCCCGCTCCCTCCTTCCCTGCCGCCAGCTGGTGGGCCAGCCGGCCGTGCACCTGAAGCGTGAATTCTTCCTGGCCAACTCGTCCCGGGCCCGGTCGGAGCAGTTCATCAACCTGCGGGAGGTCAGCACGCGCTTCCGCCTGCCGCCCGGGGAGTACGTGGTGGTGCCCTCCACCTTCGAGCCCAACAAGGAGGGCGACTTCGTGCTGCGCTTCTTCTCAGAGAAGAAAGCCGGGACCCAGTGAGTCAAGGGCCCCCTCCCTGCCCTCCCCCACAGCCCCCCCCCCCCCCCCCCCCCCCCCCCCCCCCCCCCTGCCCCCTCTTTCTCCCCACCCTCTGCAGGGAGCTGGACGACCAGATCCAGGCCAATCTCCCTGACGAGGTGCGTGCCCTGCCCCCGCCAGGCGCCTTCCTCCTCCCCCCCACCCCGGGTGTGTGATGAGGACTAGATATCCTGTTCCCTAGGCTCCAGCTGGCAGGGCAGAGCCCCTCCTGGCAGGAGCCATAAGAGTAATACTGATCCCTCATTTGCCCAGCACTTCAAAGTTTGCAAAGAACTTTGTGATGATAATGGCACGGGGTCCCTGTGCTCTGGCTCTCTGCTGGGTCTGTGCTGAGCTCTTTACCTGGGTCACCCCGTTTCCTCCACAACAGCCCTGTTGGGGTGCCATGATCGTCTCCCTTATCAGCAGGAAACTCAAGTTCACAGAGGTTAAGGAGCTTGGCCAAGGTCACACAGCAGGGATATGAGGCCTCATCCCTCATCACTGAGCTGAACTGCCCCCTCGTTTAGGCCACAAGAGCCCCGGGCAGGGGGGTAGAGTGGGGCCTAGATTCCTATTTTACAGAGGAGAAGAGTGAGGCTCAGAGAGTTGAAGTGACACGTAGCTAATGAGTGGTCCCAGCCTTGCCTCCATGCAGGGGCTGGGCTGGGGCACCTCTGACCTGCTCTCCCCCGTCTCCATCCAGCAAGTGCTCTCAGAAGAGAAGATAGACGAGAGCTTCAAGAGCCTCTTCAGACAACTGGCAGGGGCGGTAGGTGTTGGGGGGCGGTGCTCTGGGACACCGAGGGGCAGCCCTTCCCCAGGGCGGGTGCCATCCTCTCTCTTCCCCCAGGACATGGAGATCAGCGTCAAGGAGCTGCGGACCATTCTCAACAGGATCATCAGCAAACGTGAGCATCCCTGAGCGGCGGCTCTGCACCCGTGTCCTGCCCCCCATTTCCTCCAAACTCCAGAATCTAGGCTTCTGCTCCCACGTTGAGTTAAACCCGATCCCTTGGTTTGCGTGGGTGGGGGGACCCACCACTGCCTTTCTGAGCCCTGCTCCCCCGTTTTCCTCCCAAACTCCTGACACCACCCGCTGGACCCCGTTCTCTGTGCCTGAGTGCTGTGCCCTGGTGTGATAGAAGCTTAGCTGGCTGACAGCGCCTTAGTGCCAAGGAACAGGCCCCCCTTCCTCCCAGAAGATGCACCCCCGGGGGTGCAGTGGCTTGTGAGCCAGGCCCAGTGGCTTGTGAGCAGAAGCCTGGCTGGCTTCACTCCCCAACGTGCACACCTGATGCGGCTGCCCCCGACCTTCCCTTTGCCCTTGGCCTTGGCCACACACGGCAGCTCTGCATTCCCAGCACTGCCCTGAGGTTTGCTGCCTCTGACCTCTGACCTCTAACCTCCATCCATGCTGCTCCCTTGGCCCAGAACTCCTCCCCTTCTCTTCTCACTCTTCGGGGCCTGCAGCAGCCTCACCCCTGCCGTGACCACCTTTGCTGCGTGTTCTGCTGCATTTCTTGCACTGCTTTTAGGACTTGTTGCATTTTACTCTGCTCTAATCATGGTGTTGACATAGCTGTTGGGACACCAGCTTGATTGCTAAAATACATAATCTCTTTTCTGATGATAGAAACAATCTTACACACCTGCTCTGCTAGATTTTACACACCAGGGACAGGACCCATACCTCCCTGAAGCTGCCCACTCAGAACCCCCAGCACAGGGCAGGCCCCGGAAGCTCACTGGGTTGAGGTGTTGGGCCCGGTTTTTCTTGCAGACAAAGACCTGCGGACCAAGGGCTTCAGCCTGGAGTCGTGCCGCAGCATGGTGAACCTCATGGACGTATCCTCCCATTTGCTGTGGTTCCCTGAGCGCTGCTTTGGGTTGGGTGTTGGCGTGGGAAAAGCACTGGGTGACCTGTCCCGGGAGCAGTGCAGAGAAAGGGACAAAGCTCTGTGGAGTTGGAGGGACCAGTGCCTTCCTGGGCATCTTCCTATTGATTGGGAGGGGAAAACTGAGGCACAGGCCTTGTGTCAAGTGAGAGGTGGAGCAGGGCCTGGCCTCCCAAATGACCCGAAAGCTGGTGGTCTTTTGCACCCTTCCCAGCCCACCCCAGTTCAGAGAAGGAGGCAGGCCTGGCTCCGGGCTGGCTGCTCACCGGCTATTCCGCTTCTCCCCGCCCCTCGTCTTGCTCTCTCTGCGGCCAGTCTCCCCCTTTCCCTGCCGTACCCTCTCACCCCGTGCCTGGTTTAAGCCGTGGAGTTTCCTACTTAACGGCCGCTCAGCGGGACGGCAACGGGAAGCTGGGCCTGGTGGAGTTCAACATCCTGTGGAACCGCATCCGGAACTACCTGGTAGGCGGGCCCCGCTGGGCGCCCTCCTCCTCTGCGGCCTCCATCAGGGCGGGCAGGCCGGGCCGCAGGCTCCCGGGCCGGCCGCGTGGGCTGGGCCCTCACCCTGGGTCTGCCTCTCGGAGCCCACGTATCCCAGCCACTGACCCACCTCCGGGCCTCTCCCCTCCACCCACGATAACCCTGCACGCCGGGGCGGACGGGAGGGCTGATGCCTCAGCCTGGCCCTCACCCTCCTCTCCCGCCCCAGGCCATCTTCCGGAAGTTTGACTTGGACAAGTCAGGCAGCATGAGCGCCTATGAGATGCGGATGGCCATCGAGTCTGCAGGTGAGGCCTAGCGCTGGCAGACCTGTGGAGCCCCAGACAGATGGCCCCAGGCTGCTTCCCTGACAGCTACCCAGGGCGGTGCCCACCCCACTGGCCCTTGTCCCTGGGATGATGGTGGCCACGGTGGTGATGTGGTAACAGCCACCTTTGCCTTTTTCTCATGGTTCCTGAGCTAAGTGCTTTATCAGCATTTCCATTTGTCCTCACTGTAGCCTAATGAGGTTAGGGTCATTTATTATTCCCATTGCTCACAGAGGAAACTGCGGCTCAGAGAGGGAAAGTGACGGGCCTGAAGCCACACAGCCGGGGGGTGGGGCGAGCTCCAGAGCCTCCAGTGAGACAGGCGCAGGGATCATCCTCAGTCCCCCGTCAGGATGAAGCTGGACCCTGGGGCCCTCGTTGGCCAGCCCGGTTCCTGGCAGCAGTCCGGGCCCTCGAGCTCCCTCTGGGACACGCACTTGCTTGCCAGCCCTTCCCAGCCCCTGGCCCTGCCCAGGAGGTCTTCATGCCCCTGAGCCTTGGGGCTCACCTTCTGCAGCCCCAGTTCCCCTCCCTGTCCCCTCGGGCCGTGCAGTGTCTCCCTGACCTCCCCCGCTCTCCCGGGCCAGGCTTCAAGCTCAACAAGAAACTGTATGAGCTCATTATCACCCGCTACTCGGAGCCCGACCTGGCCGTGGACTTCGACAACTTCGTGTGCTGCCTGGTGCGGCTGGAGACCATGTTCCGTGAGTGTCCCGTCCGGCTCCCGCCTCTGGCTCCGTCTCAGGCTCATCCCCCATGAGCTGGTGGGAAGGACAGACGCAGGCCTGTGCCATGGCGTGTGCCAGAGAGGCGAAGGTGTCTGGGGTTGGGGTCCAGACAGGCTGAGTGCCAGGAGACTGGGGGTGGGGAGGGGTATGTGGGGGCTCTCAGGCAGCAGGAAGAGCTGCTTCCCGGCTGTGACCAGTGAGAGAGCTTGGGAAGCTGTGGGGAGGTAGGAGGTGAGGCAGGAGGGGGGCCGGTCCTGGCCCCGCGTGAATGTCCCACTGAGTTCTCAGCCCCGTATCATATTTTTTTGAACACACAGGGTTTTTCAAAACTCTGGACACAGATCTGGATGGAGTCGTGACCTTTGACTTGTTTAAGGTGGGAACCTCCCTTGGCCAGTGGGTGAAGGCGCTTGGGGCCGGGGAGTTTTCTTACCTTCCTGGGGCAGGAGCCTGTGGCCTCAAAACCAGCCGTACAGGCTGGGCCACCTGAGTCCTGGAAGGACGGGGTGAGGGTGTCTGTCTGGGTTCTGGGAGGGCGGCAGGAAGGGAGGGCCAAGCCTGGAGGTCTCTGCTGGAGCCAGTACCCTCCCACCCCCAAGAGTTTCCCTCTCCCACCTGCCCTCAGAGTGGGTGAAGAGATGGTGGCTCCTGAGTCTTGGGGCTGGGAGGTGGACTTGGGGTTTCTGCGCGCCTGGCTGACCTCTCTCCTCTCTCCTCTCCACCCGGCAGTGGTTACAGCTGACCATGTTTGCATGAGGCGGAGGCTCGGGCCCCCTTGCCGTGCCCCTCTCCCTTTCTCATCTGCCAAGCCATGCCTTCCCGCCACGCCACGCCAGACCACACCAGCTGCAAGTGCCTTTCTCGGAGCAGGAAGCGGCCTCATCCTCTTGTCCCCTCACCTCCCAGCCACCACGGTTCATCTGCTCTGGGCAGAGCTGTGTGGCCCTCCCTGCCTCCACCAGCCATGGGCTCAGGACGGACTCCTCCGTTCCCTCCCGTGCCATCGCTAAGCCAGGAAGGCAGCTTCTGCTTGTTCCTGCCTCAGGGTGGGGCTCCAGGCGGAGCTGACAGCCCCAGGCCGCTTGGCATCCTGATGTGTCCCCTCCCCCCACTCCCAAGGCCACCCACCCAGCCCACCCCGCTGGCCTCACCTGCGGACTTGAAACATAACCACTAGGTCTGCACAGTCTGAGTCTAGATGTGCGGGGCCCCTTCCCAGCTGAGGCTTCCTCTCCAGGGCTGGGAACACCTGTTCCTTCCTGTGCAGAAGCCAGTGCCCCCCTCTGCCTGCCAACCTGCCCTGCCTGCCGACCAGGAGCGACTGGCCTGGAGGATGGTCCGATGTTCATGCCCTCCCTCCCTCCTTTTTTATATTGGTGATTTTAAAGGGGACTCTTCAGGGACTGATGTACCAGTTATCGGGGTGCCAGAGGCCCCTGGGCGTGGGGTTGGGGGAGAGGTCTCATGTTTCCATGCAGAGAAACTCCAAATAATAAAGGAAAAGGCTCCACATCTGTCTCTAGAGTGTTTCTGCCCAAACCTGCTGCCCAGGGTGGGCACCAGCAAGCCTTGGCCTGCAGAGACAGCTTGGGGCCTCCACAGCTGTCCTGCCCCCACATCCCCATCTCCTTCTCTGTCACCGCGGAGGCTCGAACCCCTGCTGGAGTACTGGGCATCAGGGAGGATGGGGAGGATGGGGCTGGGGCTGAGGGCTCGGGGCAACACTTGTGGTCCTACACGCCCTCTTCACAGCCCCGGTGGCCCAACCCCTGCCTGCCCTGTGCACTCCAGCCTATGAGGTGCTGGCTGAAACCCAAACTCCTACTTAGCACAAACCTGACCCCCTAGGAAGCGCTGCAGAGCACAAAGCCTCCTTCAGGTCCTCTGGGGGTGGGTTGCTCTTGTGACCCAGACACCTGCAGCTTATGTAAGCTGTTCCAGGCCCCTCTGGGATCCCGGCTTTTCTTACCAGAGATAAGAGTGGGTTGAGGTAGGGTAGAGAGGGGGATAGGATGTTCGGGTGAGCCACAAACTAGGACAGCATCAGCAGGGCAAAGGCGTACGGAGCCCAGATTGAGGGGCTGGGGGCTGCTCTCGGCTGCTGGGAGCCTCGGGCGAAGCCCCAAGTGGAGCCCCGAGGGGCAGACTGCCTGGACACTACCTGTCACAGGCTGGCACAGGGCCCAGAGCAGGGCGTCCCGAACCTGCATTTTGCCTTGGGAGTCCCTGGGCTGGGTCCTGCTGGGCCTCGGCGTCCTCATCAGTCAGGGCATCACTTCCTGGGAGCCTGGGCTGGTTTGTGAGAGGGGCCCGGTGGAGGGGTCGGGGGCAGGCCCACCAGGTCCCGCCCTGTTAATTCTCTGCACTGGGTTTTTTGGGTGGTTTTTTTTTTTTTGGTGAGAAAGATTAGCCCTGAGCTAACATCTGTTGTCAATCCTCCTCTTTTGCTGAGGAAGATTGGCCTTGGGCTAACATTCATGCCCATCTTCCTCTACTTTATATGTGGGATGCCACCACAGCATGGCTTGATAAGCTGTGCGTAGGTCCGCGCCCAGGATCTGAACCTGCAAACCCTGGGCCACCAAAGCAGAATGCACGAACTTAATCGCTACACCACTGGGCTGGCCCCTGCACTGGGTTTTTTTGATGAAAGTGTTGGAACACTGTGGATCTGGATGATCTGGGGGCCCTACCTCCTCATGAACCCCCACTATGAGGCTGAGGGTGCCTGGGGTGGGGAGCAGGGGGAGCAGGCCTTCCTCTTGGCTGCCTTTTTGGGCATTTTAGAGGACTTTCTTCCCCCGAGTGTCTCCTGTGCAGCCCCTGACTTCTCGGGGAGTGGGGGTGGGGCAAACAGCCGTAATCACTGGTACCCCTTATCTGACTGCCGAGCATTTAAGGCTCCGGCCTCGATGGAGCCCAGTGACAGGGACCGGAGCGCACGTGCTGAGGCTAGACTTGGGCTCTTGACGGTGACTCACGGGGGCCTCCAGAGAAAAGGGGAAGGTGGTGATGGCGCTGCATTTACTGCTGGGGTCCCGGTGAGGGCAGCGGGCCGGGCGGCTGGGCCTGCGGAGCTGGGCAGTGGGCCCTCTGGGACCCCTCGCTTCTCTACCTCAGGAGGTGAGAGATTGAGCGAAATGAGGAGAAAGGGCCTGGAGGGAGGGGAATCCTGCAGACGTGGGGACACCCGAGGCCTCCCGTGAGGTGTAACCGGACCCGTCTGAGCTGCCGGACACGGGGCATCTGCGGTCCTAACCCCAGGCCCGTTCCTCCACCTCCCAGGGCCCCGTCCCAGCCCCTTTACATAAGGCCCCGGCAGGCTGGGCCTCAGGTCAGGCCCGTGGCCATGGCCTTCACAGACCTGCTGGACGCGCTGGGCGGCGTGGGTCGCTTCCAGCTCGTCTACACGGCCCTGCTGCTGCTGCCCTGCGGCCTGCTGGCCTGCCACAACTTCCTGCAGAACTTCACGGCCGCCGTGCCCCCCCACCACTGCCGAGGCCCCGCCAACCACGCTGTGGCCACCACCAACGCCTCGAGGGCCTGGCTGAGGGCCACCATGCCCCTGGACCAGCTTGGGGCCCCCGAGCCATGCCGGCGCTTCACGGAGCCTCAGTGGGCCCTCCTGAGCCCCAACACCTCCAGCCAGGGGGCGGCCACCGAGGGCTGCAAGGACGGCTGGGTCTACGACCGCAGCGTTTTCCCGTCCACCATCGTGATGGAGGTCAGAGGGGGCCGGGGCAGTGTGGGGGCTGCTGTCTGAGGCCGAAGCTGGAGCGCCCCTCTCTCCCCCGCAGTGGGACCTGGTGTGTGAGGCCCGCACCCTCCGTGACCTGGCCCAGTCCGTCTACATGGCCGGGGTGCTGGTGGGCGCTGCGGTGTTTGGCAGCGTTGCAGACAGGTGAGCCTTTGGGGACGAGGGCTCTTTATTAATTTTCTTTATTAAAGTTTATTCAGGTACTTTCAACCAGATAATCCCTATAATACATAATACATGGTTAAAATTCCAGAAGGTACAAGAGAGTATGCAGGAAGCGTCCCTTTCCCACTCCCACCCCTGCCCCGCAGTAATTGCTAGAGGGCAGCCCACTTTCTCTGCATCTCACCAGGGATGTTTTATGATCTTATGCAATCCAAGCAAACGTGTACATATGCTCTGTCCCCCCGTTTTTATACAGATGCTGGCACGCTCCACATGTACTTCTGTATCTGGCTTTTTCTTTACTTGAAGACCTCTGAATATTCCTTCAGAAGGAGCTTTCCTATCCTCCCCACTGTCCTGTATGAATGAGCAAGAATTAACGATGATCGACCCCACTGAGGGACTGGGCCCCTCTAGAGAGACAACCGGGAAACACAACATGGCTCGTGGCTCTGACAGAGAGGGGAGTCGAGTAGGAGACTCCTCTGTCCTCTTTCCCCTTCCTTCCGGGCTCTTCCTCCCCTTCTCTGTCTCCCTCTCCTCTCCCTTCCCCGCTGTTGCCAGTTCAGGTTCTGCAGGACCTTCTCGGACTCCAGACCCCACACCCTGGAGTGTAGACTGCTCCCTGGGCTGCACGCCTCGGGCACCTCATGGCTGACCCGGTCACAGCCCTCTCGCACCGTGTCATGACACATCCTGGTCTTTCTTCGTTTGAGCTTGTTTCTTATCCATAGTGTCTTCTATGTCACCAGCCCCCAGCTCAGGCCTGTCACTTAGAGGTAATCAATGAACATTTGTGTAACAGAATGAATGAGTGAATGAATGAATGAATGAATGAATGAGTGCTGCCCTCCTGGCTAAGCTAGGGCTCCGACCCTGGACCCTCACTTACAAATGGGGCAGTGCCAAGGCCAGAGTGGAATAAATCTGCTACCCTGGCCTTGGACTCCTCTGAGGCATGACAAGCCCTCGTCCCACCCTGACCTCCTCACCGTGAGCAGTTCCATGACGACTTGACCCCGGGGTCCTGCTCCCCTCAGCCGAGGCCCCACCAAGTGCTCACTCCCTGTGAGTTCTGGTTTGAGGCCTCCCTCCAGCCAGAAAGCCACTCAGGGGACCCTTTCTCCACCCACTGCACCTGCCTCTGGGCCTTTGCAGAATCCCTGCCTTTCCCCGACCCTGGAAGATTGGGCTTGGTAGGGGGGCCAGAAATACTCCTTGAGTGAAGGAACGAAGGAGGGAATATATCTCTTCATCTCCAGTTTTCTTCCACACCACGCTTCTCCCTCCATGACCAACCTCTGCCACCAGTGCCCGGTCCCAGGGATGTCCTGTTATGGAGGAGCGGCTATGGGGCAGTGGGAGGTGGGGTGGGGAGGAGGAGAGCAGCTTCTTCTCGCCCTCCCTGACAACTCCCACGGGAGATGATACTGGCGCCTCCGGAACCCTAACCCTGTGCCCATGGCCCGGCTCAGGCTGGGCCGCAAGGTCCCCCTGGCCTGGTCCTACCTGCAGCTAGCAGTTTCGGGGGCCGCCACGGCATACTTCGGCTCCTTTGGTGCCTACTGCGTCTTCCGGTTCCTGATGGGCATGACCTTCTCTGGCATCATCCTCAACTCCCTCTCTCTGGGTGAGTCCAGCCATGGAGGGGCCTGGAGGGGAGAGGGCTCGTGGAACAGGGGGACAGCAGCCCCATCATTGGATGTCTTTCCTGTTTCACTGTGTTGGGATTCTCGTCCAGTGACCTGGACTCATAACCTCCCAGGGTTCTTGGGAGACCCAGGCTTTCAGCAGTGGCCCTGCCAGCAGTGAGCCGCGGACTCTGGGTTGCAACTCCCCCATCTGTGAGCTGAGAGGGTTGCGTTTACTTCCTGTGTGACTTAGTCAACAGTAACCACTTACTCAGCACCAACTGTGTGCCAGGCTCAGTGTGGGGACGCAGAAGTGAGTGAGACACAGCGGTCCCCAGAGCTGCAGGCAGCCCTGAGATTACGTGGCTCCAAAAAGGGCGAGCTTCACCCGGGCTGCAAAGGTGGCGACACCGTAGCGCCATGGTGGAGACCTGCCTTCCTGGATGCCATGTGGGAATGTCCCCACCCCAAAGTGAGAGGGTCAGTCCTCACTCCAGTCTGGTTCCCGGCAGCGCCAGGGTGGCTCTGGCAGAGAGCACTGTGGGGCAGTAGGAAGCCCACCTGGAGACAGGCTTGCCCCTTGCTGCACTTCCCTCTAATCACTCAGCTTGCCAGGCCTCACGGAGGATCTGAGGGATTTGGAAACTGCTGCCAAAGCGGACTGGGTCTTTCCCATCTCGGGGTGGGCGTCCAGCCACGCCTCGTGGAATCTGAAGGCAGAAACAGATGTCCAAGGTCCATCTCATTCCAGAATCGCCTCTATAGCACACACACCCTCTATACACACATACTCACCTCAACACACACACACACACACACACACCCCTACGTGTACATACACACCCTATAGACACACACACACACACTACTCTGTGCCAGATGTGGTTCTAAACACTGGAGATGCAGCCATGAACAAAACAGACACTGCTCCTGTGGGTCTGTGTTCTGGACACATAAGTGA